TAAGCTCCGAGTCGGTCGCAGTATCATGCCCATCAAAATTGTGGAGGATCACACGTACCTGGGAGCTCGAATAGCTTACCAGAGCCACGAGACCCTCAATCTGCAGCATCGTCTGCACCTCGGATGGCAGGCATACTGGCGACTTGCCAAAGTCCTCCGCTGCCGGGCCCTGACCCTGGAAAGCAAAATCAGAGTATGGAAGACTTGTGTCTACCCAGTCGCCCTATACTCTCTTGAGGCCACAGGTGTAACCCCTCACTCCCGCACACTCCTCTCCCAATTTGTCCACGCCCAACTCCGACTCATACACAAACTCCCGGGCCATGTCACCAAGGTCACCTCGTGCGACCTCCTTCGTCGCAGCCACCTAGAGTCGCCGGGAGACACCTTGGATCAGCGCATCCAACGCCACCTTCAACAGCCCCCAGAATTCCCGACCGATGCGCAGGAGACCTGGTTCGATCAGTTGCAGGACTACTCGACCACATCTGCTGTCACAGACTCAGACCCCACCGGAATCCCTGCCTCGGAGGACACTGGATCGACCAGGGCTCACCTTAAGCCACTTAGCAGCGCCCTCAGCTATAGACCGCTATGCTGTCCGATCTGCGGGGTCGGCTACAGCACGCTGCAAGCTGTGCGCCTGCACATGCGCAAATCCCACCAGACGCAGGTCCGACAATCAACTCCTGCGCCGGAATCAGCCCCTGCCACCACACCTACCCTTGCCGCAGGTCCACCTACCTCCTCCTCTTCTGCTGCTGCGGTGACCATGGACCCCGACGCGGCCACGACCCTGGTCCCCAAACCCGCTTTTGCGGCGGACGAACATGCCCTGTTTGTCTGGCAACATGGCCGCGAAGGTCTACCGCAATGTCGACACTGCCTTCGGCAGTGTGACTCCTGGCACAACCTGCGCGTGCATATATCCACGAAATCCTGCCGAACCCTTGTGCCAGACGGTTTTCACACTCTACCCCCAAAACTCAACCTGAACCCGACACCGCTCTACCATAGACCCGAGTGCCAGCCCTACTTTCTAGGCACCTGGGAACAGCTTGCCTCCTGGATGAAAAAGGCGTTTCCTCAGGCAGTGCAACATTGCCCGTACTGCCACCAATGGCTGACCCAAGCCCGCGGCCTCCGCGCGCACATTAAAGCCAAGCACCCTCCCATGATTGCATGCTGTGAAGAAGCAGTCCGCCGCATGCAGAAGCACCGCAGGCTTTTGGCCCTCGGGAAAACCTGTCGCTACTGCAGCCTGTCTCTTACGGGAGCGCCCATCAAGCACGCCACTGAGTGTGCAGTTCTGTTCCTGGTCCACTTGTTGCAAGCCACCTTCGAAATGCACAGTACTGCCCACACAGCCCAGGTCCGACATGACTCTGCCCTCGATGTTCAACGCCCATCAAGTCAACCCGGAGGACCTGGAGGAGGCGACCATGGAACTCAAGAGTATCGAGGCACAGGTACGCCTGATCCCGAACCCGCCGTCACCGGCGCCGAAGGCAGCAGACCTCCCCGCCCAGAGCGAACCAACGGACACCTCACATCCCCCACCGGCGGAGGAGACAGCGGACAGACCCTCAAAGTGGCACCGCGACAACAGCAAAGGAGCCCCTCCACCGGGCAAAGGGAAAGGTGCGGCGGGCCGAGGCCATCCGAACCAGTCGACACCAGCAGGACGGTCTCCCCATCAAGGCGGACAACCAAGACGGCCAGGAGGTCGCCCCTCCGGGTACCATCCTCAGCCTCCCTGGCAGCGCCAAGGACAGGGATACGGGCCTACTTCCGGCCCAGATCTCCACCTCATGTGCCACACCATGGCCAGGCTCCTCATGAGACACGAGGACGCCCTCTCGGTGCTGCAGCAATCCACCACCTGGATTCTCTTCCTCACGACCCAGACGGAAAGCACCATCCTCCCCAAGCTGTTCGCCACAGCCCAAGGTTGGCACGACCTGCGATGGAACAACCCGGACGCCATCACGCAGCCGATGCGCATCATCCTATGGCAGAAGCTGATGATGGAGTTGGCGCAGCGAGCGCAGAAGGTGATAGATCAGGCGGATGCACGAAAACAGGCTGTTCAGATGGAGCTGTACAACCCGAACACGGGATTTGGCTACCGCAAGTGGAACAACAAGGAAGGTGCCATGCAAGCCATCTCGGACCGAGAGCCGCTAACGGCCCAGAAGGTGGTGGAAGTGGCTCAGGAGCTGGCGACACTGAGTGTGCAGCCACAGCTGCTCAATCGCTTTCACGCCACGAGGCAACTGGAGGCGAAGATGGAGGGAAGCACTGTCACCTGGCTTCTGGAAGTGGGATGGCGAGGGGAGCAGACAGCCCGATTTTGGGAGCTACTCCAGCTCCTCTCGCACAACTCCTCTCTCCTCATGGTGGGCTGCACCCTTCGTCCGGATCGCCTCCAACGATCAGCCCTGGCTCAGCAGCTCCAGACCCTCTTGCAATCCATGAACATTCCCATGCCACGACAGCAGCCGAGACCTCAGCACTACTTCCGACATTGCGGCTTCACAACCCATCCAACTACTGTTACTCCCACGCTTGCCTCCTGACCTACCTTTGGATTGCGTCCCTGTCAGCCTCCTCCCTTCAGGTACTGGACCGGGAACCGATAAGGAGCTTCATTGCGCAGGCGCGCAAGCAGCAACAACTGACGCTGTGGTCCCTTCTACCATGGCGACAGGCACTCCGGCGCTGGACTAATCCTGCCAGACAGCACGATGCCGCGGACTTCCTATTACACCTTCACCAGGTACTAAATGCACCCTGCTTCCAAGGCCTCTGGCAATCTTATGATGACCGCAGAGTGCTCCAGGATGAAGGCGGGGTTTGTCCACTCATCCTTTCTGGTATCCAAGATGCCTCTACCGCCGTTGCTACCTCAGCCCAGTCCTGCATCAATCGTTGGTACTCGCAGAAACGTCGCCACGCCTTGATCTCAGGTACTGAAGCTGTGGCTGTACAGCTGAACAGATTCTGCAATGAGCGGGGCATTGCTACCAAAAGTGACCATCGCATCGAAGCAGATCAGGAAGTCCTCTTTCCTCAATGGATCCCCACCTCCACTGAAGTCATTTGGAGAACTTATCAGCTTCAGGCGATTGTCCAGCATATCGGACCTACTACGGTCACGGGGCACTACCGTGCTGCACTCAAGCCTCGCTCTGATGCTACACCCCTCTGGCATTACACAGATGACGACAGAGCCGCACAATCCATTCGCCTGGAAGCCCTTTCCACATCCAGCTACATACTTGTATACAGACTGAGGAGTGCTGCCACTTCCGCATAGGCCCTTCGGGGCACAACATAGTTAGTTCCGAGACGATCCAAGTGTGATCGTGCGCCACTGTGCGCCAGGTGATTCCTGCTCCAATCAGCGCATTGCGACTTTACCGTCCGCAGCGAGTGTGATGATGATGATACTACTACTACTACTGCTACTCCCCTACTACTCCTTGTGATCCCACTACTACTACTACTACTCCTGCTGCTACTACTACTACTACTACTGCTACTACTACTAGCACTACTACTACTACTACTGCTACTACTACTACTACTATTACTACGACTACTACTACTACTACTGCTACTGCTACTACTACTACTTCTCCTACTACTCCTACTACTCCTCCTACAACTAATGTTATTATCACTACTACTAGTACTACTACTACTACTACTACTACCACCACTGCTACTACTTCTCCTACTACTCCTCCTACAACTAATGTTATTATCACTACTACTACTACTACTACTGCTACTACTACTACTACTACCACTGCTACTAGCCAGGCCCCCCCCCCCCCCCCCCGCCCCCAACACCAACAACCTGCCGGCTGAAACCATCATGTTCATCATCATCACAAGCACTAGAACTGGCGAAGTCGACAAATGGTTATCTGACAAGCAATGAGGGGACATTTCACACCGTAAATACCCAGTAAAATGCGCGGCGCGTGCAAGCGAGTCGTCATCACCCCCACCCCCCATCCCCCACACACCCTCTACCCCGCAACCCCCCCGAACCCTTCCAAAACAGGAATGCGCGCGTTTTCAGAGTCGGCAAGTGGATCTTGAGACAAGAAGATGTGTAAGGACTTTACAAAAGTGCGCAAATAACCAGTAAATGGATCTGTTCTTCAGATGGCTTAGAGCAAGTGCCGTTGGTAGAGGGGGGACGCCTGCTATGCTACTTCTGCTACCACTACTACTACAACAGTACTACTACTACTACTACTACTACTACTACTACTACCACTACTACCACTACTGCTACTGCTACTGCTGCTGCTACTGCTACAACCACCGTTACGAAAGGATTCGATGCTGAGGTCAGGGTCTGGGAACCGGCACCAACACAAACAGAAGAACCAACAAACAGCAACCCATGGTTGTACATAAATGCACGTAGCATATACAGCTACATCTACTTATTCTTCTACTGTCCACGCATAGATACATACATACATCCATGATCATCCATGCATACTTTGACACATTATATACTGACCTGCACCTCTACACCAACAAAGCTCTTATTTCATCGATGCGCACGCCCTTCGAGTGCACGCAACAACACGACATGTCAAGCAGCACCCCAACCAAACAAAAGCAACACCCTCGTAATCACATGTTCACGAGAGAAAACAGAGTGCATGACTTGCAACTTGCAGTTAGACCATGGCGTCAAGCCCCCTTTGTCAACAAACTGCCGGGATCGCCTAATCAATGACCATGCAACGACACATGACATGAACACCTATAGATGGCAAAGCCAGCAGCATGGCGACATCCTAAATAGTAACCTCACCTCTCTAGTCCTCATGTAACTCTACAAGTAATATAATAAACCCCCAAAGCCCTGTTTTGAAGGTCCCTACATCATAAAAATCAGAGACGCCTAAAGGCACCCCCTTAAACGTCTAGTTCGATTACGCCAGTCCGGTAATCCCAAACCAAGGGGCGGAAGCTGGTACGGCCCCACAATCATAACTGGCTGCGGGTCCTGGCAACCCCTCAACCTACCCAGGCAGCAAAATCTCATGGTTCACTTACACTCTCGCAACTCGGAACTCAGCCAAACAAGGTCTGTCGGTTCGCGTGTGCACTACAAGCTCGGGTTGAGAGGTTCACTTAGGGTTTAGAGGTTTAGGGTCTAAATGTTGCTTTGTAGCTTGGCTCGTCTTTGACCCCGGGGTTTGGGGTTGAATCTTGAGTGTCTATATACAGGGACCCCAGAAAGCCTCTAATATAGGGGCTTCAGAATTAGAATAGTGTTTTCGAGGCCAGGGGTCCTTTCTGTATCTGTTGTCTAAAAGAGCCCCCAAACCCTATTCTTGGGACCCCCATATTACCATTATTACCTTAAACCGGCGAAACCTCACAACTTGAACCTCAAACAATGAATGCCTCGCCTAGGGCCTAGGGTCCATGAGCCTACAGTATTATAGTAAAATCGTATATACTTCAGCCTTCGAATTCCCGTTTAGGAACCCCCTGAAAGTGTCATACATGGAGCTGCGGGCTTGGATCCGGAAGTGGAAGCCTTGATAATACTAACCTTTAAAACCCCGAGCCTGTTATATGACCCTTCATGATTGCAAAACCGTGTACCCAAAAAAGAAACCCTTTGCAGAACCACAGGCGCTTTGGACAACGACGTGCACATGTTCATCCCCTCCTCGTTCGGGACGAACTCGGGGGCCTGGATATCGCAAAGGTTTAAGGGTTCAGGTTTAAGAAAGGGTCTATATAGGAGGGGTCAGGGGTTTAAGGGTTTAGGGTACAAGGGCTTGAAGTTGGATCTAGGGTTTAACGGTTCAGGGTTTAAACAGGTTGCCTATAGTCTCCATTGCAGTTCATTTTTTGGTTAACCTATTTTTTGGTTAGGACCCTATATAGTGTCATTTTGGTTGAACCAAACAAGCAAGTACAATGGAGACTACACGCAGTTTTTAAGGATATTGTGAAGGATTCTATAAAGGCTCGGGTGGTAACAACCATTTGTGGCAACAGTGAGTTAGACGCATCCACTCCTCACATCGTTCTTTCCGTTTGCGTTTCCACTTTGGATTTCCCTTCCGTTCAACGTTCCATTTTTGTTTCTGGTTGGGTCTGTTTTACGTTTACACTTCCGTTTTGGTTTCCACTCCCGTGGGCACTTCCATTTCGGCTTCCATTTGTTTCGGGGCGTCTTTTGTGGCTTCGGTTCAACATCCAGATATGATGCTCAAGAAGCAAATTCTACAGCCCAGATTGGGGCCCAACCGCTGTACATTGAAATTGCAGGCAAGCAACTGTAGCCACCTACAAGTAGCACGGACCAAATTACTGTGCGGGTTCCAGAAACCCACGGCGGAACGCGCAGCAGATTCTGAAACCGGAACCCAGCATCCGAAGCGGAACCCGAAACGAAAAGTCCGGCAGCACCAGAACCCAAACCAGAAGTGGAAACGGTAAATCCGGGACCCTCCAGAAATTGGAAAAACACAGCAAACTTTTTCCGGTTCGGGCTGCGAGCCAGAAAAACAACAGTAACACACACTGCGAGTTCTGTTTTCTTCGAGTCCCGGAGTTACTGTTTCCGCTTCCGGTTTAGTTTCTGGTGCTGCCGGGCTTTCCGTTTCGTGTTCCGCTTCGGATTCCAGGTTCCGGTCTCTGCATCCGTGGAATGTTCTGCCGGTTCCGTTTCGCCCCCATGGGCCGGGTGGGGAAGGACGGATGGTGCCGGAGGTAAGGCGTGTGTGTGACATAAAATACACCACAGCGTCAGCATGGTTTACTAACCTGCAAAGACGTGGAAGACGCTACCAGGGAAGACGGAAAGCTGAACGGAAGAGAAAAGTACACAGGAACCCCGAATGGAAGCACGAACGGAACCGAAAAGGCAAGTGGAAAACGAGACGGAAGCGAAAACAGAAGACCCTGGAGAAGAGGAAGACAGAACGGAAACAGAAACGGAAGATGAAAAACAGCTTGTGCCGGAAATGACACTCACAAGGCTTGGGGTTAATCCTTCTGACAGCCAAGCTCGCAACCCGCGGCCGAAACCTAACGATGCGAAGACTTTGTGTCAAAACCGATGAGAGAGTGTACAGTTTCATGTAAACGCCAAAGCAAGTACCAATATTTATTGGAGGGTTCCTGACTATAAATAAATGCATTAGGCCCCCAAAACTAATATTCTGATTCTTACTTCAGCCGAAGATCCCTGAACCCGCAAGCAGAAAAAACAACCAAAATGGGACTTTCAGACAAAAAGGGTCCCGGCAGACCCCGAAATATCATGGTTTTCAGAAACTCACAAGCCCACAGTAGCGAACCCTAAACCCCGGAAACAAAAAAGCAACTCCCTAAAACCCACCGAAGCAGTGAGTGGCTGAGAGGCGCCTCTGCCCGCATCCGCGACCAGGTGGCCTAAGCGGCTTTTGGGTTGAGGACGACCCTACCTCATGCGCTTTTCTGGCAAGGAACGCGCGAATTTGGAACCCATGTCTGCGCGCATCATTTTCTGAACTCAGACGAGAGAGCACGCTTCACAAGAGATACCGGGGCTCCAGCCTGCGGTGGCGGCTCGAATGGATCGTCGAGCGGACTGTCAAACACCGGCACCTGGCCCGAGACATGGCATGGCCGTCTAGAACCCGGAAACACCCCTTTATTGTTACTTTTCAGCAACAACAACAACACCAACACCGACACCAACAACAACCACAACAACAACAACAACAACAACAACAACAACAACAACAACAACAACAACAACAACAACAACAACAACAACAACAACAACAACAACAACAACAACAACAACACCAACACAACAACAAAACAACAGCAAAACAACAACACCAACAACACCAACAACACCAACAACACCAACAACACCAACAACACCAACAACAACAACAACAACAACAACAACAACAACAACAACAACAACAACAACAACAACAACAACAACAACAACAACAACAACAACAACAACAACAACAACAACAACAACAACAACAACAACAAAACAACAACAACAACAACAACAACAACAACAACAACCACAACGAAGCAACAACAACAACAACAACAAAACAACCACAACAACAAAAACAACAACAACAACAACAACAACAACAACAACAACAACAACAACAACAACAACAACAACAACAACCAACAACAACAACAACAACAACAACAACAACAACAACAACAACAACAACAACAACAACAACAACAACAACAACAACAACAACAAAAACAATAACAATAACAATAACAATAACAATAACAATAACAATAACAATAACAACAACAACAATTACAATTTTTCAATTGGACGCCGTGCGAGCGGGCTCTGCACATAGCGGGCGATTGCCGTTTGGTGCACTCTTGGTGTGAAACTGACCCTAAGACCAACTGAGACTAACTGGAAGTTTGTTGCTGAAGTCATGCCGTTAGACCGATCCACGCAACGCTGCACCGTACCTCTTTGGGCCGACATGCACATGAGGCCTGAGCTCGTGCCTCGCCAGAGCGGGGAAGCCCACTCTGGTGCCCCGTACCCTTGGAGGGCCGGCAGGCTTGAGGCAGCGCAAAGGACCTCCACGTTGCAGGACCACGGTCCGGCTTCTGTCGCGCAGCGGCGCCTTCGCTGCCTGATAGGGTTTAGGCGGCGCCTCCCCTCCTCATCACATGCGGGAAGTGACACGCACAATGTGCCTGAAACTGCAATCTCACATCAACTGGAAAGAGTTGCTGCACCTGATGCCGCAATTCCTGAGCTGTCACTGCGCTCCAGTATGCCTGCAAGAGGTCTTTTACGTATGCGGACAAGGTGGGCGGGCATGGCGGCCAAAAGTAACTGTCGAAGAGCATGTCCATTGCTGTTGCCCGCAGGTGCCGCGTGTCAGAGTCCGCCATAGCACTAGAGCGTGTCAGGGCAGTCAAGTGTGCAAGCTATGTGGAAAAAGGCTGCTGTAGAGTTGGATGGCTCGCAGTCGCGAGTTACCACTCACAAGGGCAGTCAACGAGGTCAGAGCAGCGCTATTTTGTACTCCGTGGAGGCTGCAGTGAAAGTAGTCCACATTTGGTCAAGCTTTCGCCAGTGCGCAGCACGCAGCGTACCTGCGAGGTTACACATGCACGTCCGACGGCTTTGGCTCCGATATGAATGCTTAAGCAGGAGGACCGGACTGAGAGGCATCGGTACCTATTTTCTCTGCACTGTGTGCGTCCGGAGTCGGCTGCTAGCAAAAGATTCCGGAAGGAAGGAAGAGATTGAAAGAGGTCGTGCTGGGCACGCACCCCAGCGGGGCCATTCTAACTGCTGCAAACCGACGTTCATTCATTGAAAGACTCTACGTTTAGTCGGTGACTGTGGTGGCGTCGGCGGCTTCTTTCGACCGGACGGTAGCGGGCTGTCCTTGGCTGCGTCCTGAGCAGCGATGTTCTGGGTCGTGTCAGTCGTCTCCATCCTGCCAGCAGCTGGGGTAGTCGTGGAGGAGTCCGAGGCCGTCTGTTGTGTGTCGTCCGAAGGTAGAGTCATCTTGTTCTTTTTTCGCTCCTGGTCCTGCTGGTAGATGAGGAGCCATTGCGCCTCGTAGTATTGCAGGTCATGAAGCAGCCCCGGCATCATGGATACGCAGGGCAGTAGCGTGTTGAAAGCTTGAGCTTTACGGCTTCAAGGGCAGGTTTGAGTCAGCACTGCGGTCAGTGTAAGGGCAGTCGGGGCTGCTAGGCGAGCCGACTCGAGCGGGCATTCCTGGTTTAGTTGTCATAGTGATGCGATCCCAGGCGGAGTTCGCCAGTTCGTGCCGATGATGAAAACAGCTTATGACCGTCATCAGCCTTGTCCTGAAATGTACAGGCTATACATAGCGAGTCGCTAGAAACAGGGACGCTCGGCGAGCCCTGTAAATTTTGCTGACAGCACCTGTCTGTTAGCGGAGCACGCAAAATGCAAAGTGCAAGTGCAAGTGCAATGGCCGGCGGCCCAGCAACAGGAACAGGAGTCAGCGTCAGTTTGGCTTGCTGCGTGCCTTACGCACTAGTCCTCCAGGTGCCTTCTTACCCAGTCTCTCACCCTGGTAGGAGTCCAGAAGTGCCGCAATGAGGGTCACGTAGGAAGCCAGCTGGGAGTGCAAAACCGGGCGGAAGTCCAAGATCACGTGTGTCTTGAGGGCGTTCTGCCACGCCGAGCAGTAGGCCACCAGATGAATCAGGTGTTCATGTGGGTGGTCGCCCCAGTCTTTGACATAGCCGATGAACGACTTGATCATGCTGGCATCGATGCCGGGAGGTCGCTGTTCGGATTTGGCCAGCTGCGTGAGCAGCGCTCCCGCAGTGTAATGCGAGCAGGAGCCCATGGGATGCGCGTGGCCAGGCTTGTGTTCCTTCTGCCAGGTCTGCACCGCAGCCATGAGCTCCTTGGCAAGAAAGCTATCCTGCGGAAGCTTGTAGACGACAGAAACCTGTAGTTGCAGCAAGGCCAGCTGTTCTTCGTGCAGGAGAAATCCTTGAGTCAGCTCCGCGTTGGTGAGAGGCTGTAGAGGCCGACCAGCTCTAGGCCGGGAAGAGCCACCACCGCCTTCTGACCCAAACATGTTGTTGGCAGCTCTGATTGGTCGGGCTGCGCGTGAGGCCGCCGATTCTTTGGGAAGGTCCATGTCTTCGTCGCCTGGCCCTGTTGGGGAGGAGTGGCGGCCACGTTTGTGGTCCGGGCTGACGGCTGGACTAGCAGTTCCAGTCATAGTTGGTCTTGCACTTGAGAAAATGCTGCGGGCGGGCCTGCGCATGCCTTGAGCATGCATGGCCTTGACGTGGGGCGGGCCATGCCCACCTATTGTGGGGTCCGGCCTTCCCACGCACAGGCACCCCTAATGAATCCGTTGGACGACTGTGGTGTCGGGCCAGCACCCACCCCTTCGGGGTGGGTCAGCTTCACGATTGCTTAGACAGAAAGAGCAAGTAGCTGCCTTCGGCAATGTGCTTGCGATCTGAGGCCGAGGCCTCGGCTGGTCGGGTTGCGTCATCTCCGACCTGAAGATGTAAACGATCAGTGCCCTGGTAGCACCAGAAAGCACGGTAGTGACCTGATTCCAAGCTCTGACCTAGGTGGTAGACGCCAGCCTGGACATGGTAGGTATGCCACAGGCGTTCCTGTCCGTCCTCCCAGGTAGGCAGTTGCAGAGGGTGAGAAAGGTCAATAGGGACCTTGCTTTTCTCGCCGTCTGCCCAGCGGGCCACCACAACGGGCAGGACCTCAGGGGCCCAGGAAAGCGCCCGCTGGAAAGTGTGGTCATGCCATGCCGGTATCAGCAACTGGAAGAAGCAGCGGTGTGAGACCCCTATCACTATCTGTATCCTCGGCGAGGCCGTCTGTGCGTCCCTCCCATGGAGTCGGCTGCAGCGGCCCCGTATTCCTCTGCAGGAGACTAGTTAGGAATTCAGCCGCGTCCTGTTGTCGACCGTCAAAACGCCAACGAAGGACGAGAGACCGAAGAGAGAATAGACCGACCGGGTTTAGCCACCGCGGATTGTCCGCGTGTGATGTGCAGTCTCTGAGGAGGGTCCATAACTCCCCTGCCAGCTCAGGTGTGTGAAGGAAGGATGCTAGCGCCTGTAGCGTGGAATTCACGTAGCAGGTGTTGCCAGAGTTGGACATGGTGCGGATGCGCAGTGCCGGCCCTTCCGAACAGCCAGCTTCTGCCGTCTCTCGTGACCGAGGCGTTGGCTCGGGAGCGGTTGAGGTCTGGTCCGGACTTACGAGTGCGGTCTTCTTGGACTGGAAAAAGGTCGTCAACGACGCAGTAGCTCCGTGTCGGGGGGCCGTCTGTGAGCGGCGCTCCCGGTGCTCTGACGTACCATGCACTCTGTGCCAGCTAAAGCATACTTGAAAGAGAACGCCGCACTGTTCGGGGTGCTTGCGTTTGTCGTACACCTTTTTCTGGCAATAAGGGCAAGAGTGTCCTTTGATTGTTTGAGCAGTGTAAGTCTGGCACAAAGCCTGGGTCGCTGACGCGTCTCGCTGCCATTCTCGGGGATGCGCCTGACGAAGGTGACTTTTGACCTTGGTGTGGTTCGAAGTCCAGAAGCCGCACAACACGCAGTGGTGCAGGAGGGACTTGGCCTCCGTAGAGGAGGCCAGGCGACCCAGCTGCGGCCTGGAGGAGGCCTGGATTTGCGTGCGCAGGGCAAAGACCTGTTGGACGGCGTCCCCTGCATCCCGCTGTTCCTGAGTGGTGGTTAGACTGCGGAGAACATCCGGGCAGGGGCATGCACCTGAGAGCAAATGAGCTCGCAATCCCGTCCATTGTGCGAATTCTTTGTCGCAAGCAGCGCATATGGGCAGGCCCCTTTTGGAGTGTTTTTCTCTGTCGAAAGCCTCCGGTATGAAGCGATCCAGTTTGTCCCGATGCATGCGCGTGGTGTGCATGTGAAGCCCATGTGCTGTGGCAAAACCCGCGTCACAGTAAGTGCAATAGTGCTCTGGCCGCTGCGTGGATTCGGTAGGAGCGGGCAGTCCGCGCATGTCTTCCAAGATCTGGCGCTGGTCGGCAAGGATGTGAGGCAACGTCACAATGTTGGTCCCAGGGCCGTAGGCAGGGCCGGAG